CTGCTTGAATCTGGGTATATGGATGTGCTGTGAACAGTGTGGCATGCAAACCATACTGTCATTCACAAAGACCAATAGCATTCAATGTTGGGAAGTACTGTTGGTACTCTTGACCAGTAGCATGTCTAGAAACTCTGAAAACATGCTGATTTTCCTTTTTTTCTGCATTGTTCTACGGTGTGCTTAATTGAGCTGTTTGTTTTTTTCCTTGCAGCTTAAGATGTTTAAACGTATCAGCCAATAATTTGGAAATGCTTCCAGCAGCATATCTGTCTGAGGAGACACAGAGCTCATTGCAAGAGCTTTACGTTTCAAATAACAACCTCACTGACAAGTGTGTGCCCTTGCTAACTGGACATCCCCATCTGAAGATTCTGCATATGGCCTTTAATCATCTACAGACCTTTCCAGCCAGGTTTGTGCAGTTTCTACTTGTGTGCGTGTTTTTTTTTTTTTTGTTTTTGTTTTTTTTTTTTTTTTTACTTTCAATAGCCCAAATTATCAAAGTGTATCAGATATTGTGAGAAGATTTTTTTGAACCCTTTGGAATTAGCTGGATACTATCATAAGTCTTCTCTTCATAGTTAGCCAAGTTTTTTATTTTGGCCATCTTCAGGGATACATTTTTCCCATGCAGATTGAGGCTCAGTACCTTGCACAGTCTTTTGTAATCCCCTTACAGTTTTTGAGCTTCAGCCTGGGATCACACTGATGCAGTCTGAAATTTGCAGTGTTTTCTGTGTGAATTCCGCACTGCATCACAATCTCACCCCGTTCATGCGAACTGCTGCAGGTGTGTATGTTAACACCCCAAAATCGGTTCGCAAAACATGGTGCGATGTGCAGAATCTCATCGCATGGGTGTGAATACTCATGTGATCTGATTCTAGTGCGAACCAAAAAAAAGGCCCTGTACCTTTTTAGTGCGGATGCGGTGTGATTTGAGCCATACAAAATGTATGGCTCCAAGCGCACCGCACACAATTCGCGACGTGGTTCCTGTGCGAATCACATGCAATATACCGCACCGCATATGTGTGAACCCAGCCTGAGTGACTCTTTTTTGGGGGGTCCACTGAATTATCTTTGTCAATATTTCACTTCAAAAGAATTCTGATCTGAAGAACAGGTAATTTAAATTGATTGCAACATTTATCCCCTTGTCATCAAGGTGTCCTGATACTAGACATTTACAATACTATTTCTTTCAGCCACCTTGATTGATTAACACAGATTTTTCAGTGAGACAAGACTGTCTAAATTATGTACATTTTCATTAAATTAAGATTTTTTTTCATTGGTTAGGCTGCAATTGGTCAGGTTAAATCGTTAGCCATTCATGTAAAAATTTTGTTCGCTCCTATACCTTTCTCACAATGTTGCGCATTTCATATTTTTAAAGCCTAACTGTAGGCAACGATTATTTTTTTATGTTGGGTTTTCATTGCTCTGTGCTTTTTATAGGTGCAGGAAGTGAGGGGGTTTCTCTTCAACAGCGCTTGTTTTTTTTCTTTTTTTTCCCCAGAGGTGTTAGTAGCACTATCAAGTTCTTATTTCATTTTTCAAATGTATACTGTACAAGGTGCTGGTAAAAGCAAATACCCTGATAATGGTTAACAAACCTCCAATATAATGCAGATCACAGCATTATCATCTGGTAAAAGTCTCTCTGGAGAGTAAACGCCCAGTACCCTTTTGATCTTGCTCAGCTGTGCAGCACCAGATGACGGGGCAATGTTGTCTCTCCCCCCCCCCCCCCCCCTTTTTTTGTGTCCATTTGGATTTCACTGCTGCGCATAATAAGATGCTGTTGATCGCACATATTACCCCATGTGGAGCACATTGTGATTTGAAGGTGCTTCTGGGGTTGCCGAGACAGTGAATGTTTGATTTTTTTCTTGCCCATGCCATCACACTGCCTGCACCATGTTTCACAGATGATGTGTGTTTTGGATCATGACCTGATCCAAGCCTTCTCCACATTTTTTTCTTCCTGTCACACTGGTACAGATTAATCTTAGTTTCATCCGTTTAAAGAATGCTTTTCCAGAACTGGTCTGGCTGTTTTAGATGTTTTTGGCAAAGTCTAATCTGGCTTTTCTATTCTTCAGGCTTATGAATGGTTTACACCTCGTGGTGACCCCTCTGTATTTGCTCTCGTGAAGTCTTCTCTTGATTGTAGACTTTGACAATGATACGCCCACTTCCTGGAGAGTGTCCTTCACTTGTCTGGATATTGTGAATGTTTTTTTCTTTACCGTAGAGAGGATCCTGCGATCATCCACCACTGTTGTCTTCCGTGGACGTCCATGCCTTTTTATGTTGCTGAGCTCACCAGTACATTCTTTCCGCAGAATGTACCAAACTGTTGATTTGGCCACTCATAATGTTGCTGCTATCTCTCTGATGGATTTTTTGTTTTTGAAGCCTGTTTCACTTGCATGGACAGCTCCTTTGAACGCATGATGTAGGTTCACAACAATAGATTCCAAATGCAAATACCACACTTAGAATCAACTCCAAACCTTTTCCCTGCTTAATTGATGAAGAAATGGCCAAGGAGTAGCCCACACCTGGCCATGAAACAGCTTTTGATGCAATTGTCCAATTACTTTTGGTCCCTTGAAAAAGGGGGATGGCTACTCTTAAAATCTGTAATTCCTAAACCCTTCCTCCAATTTGGATGTACATACCCTCAAATTAAATTTGGGAGTATGCACTTTCAATTAAATTTGGGAGTATGCACTAACTTTAGCTTGAATATGTTTTGGTAAATACCTGAAAAAAATAAATAAAATTGTGCCTGTGTCCAAATATATATGGACCTAACTATATCCATTTACCAGAGAGCTTTCAGTGCATTATACCTGTGAGGAGGACCTCCCCTGTTGTGGGTCCCCCAATATTTTGGTTGAACAGGTAACCATCATACCGGGGGAGGAGTTTTCTCCCTTTAAGGGTTCCATAGACAAGGCAGAGCCAGTTTCCTACGGTTTATTTTCGCGGATTCAGTGCCCTGTCTGGTGTTTGCATGACTGTGCTGTAGCAGACACTCACTGGGTGAACTGGGCTTCATGCCAAGGACTGTGTAAAGATCACTTTTTTTCTTGGTTTTGCGGGAACCTAGTCTTACCACCTTGTCCAGGACCCTAAGGTATGGTGTATCCTTGAATGCAGCTCCCTTGCTTTCCAAGATCTCCATCTTGGTGGTAGTGCTTTGACATTTTCTCTGGCTTCAGTGTTGGTCGGCGGACCAGACATCTAGGTGGGCCCTGGCTGACTTTCCCTCCAAGGCGAGCGGATCTTTAGTGGCACCTTAGATGACATTGTCAAGAACCTTAGGGGTGGCTCTACACCTTTCCTCCATTACCCAGTTAAGAGATGGAGCCAATCTGCTGGCATGGATCTCCCTCCCCTGCACACATGCATTTGTTTGTTTTTGTTCCCCAGGTTCCTTGGACACAGGCTGCAAGCCCTTCAGGCTTCCACAAGCCCTCCTCGACTTGCCTCTGGAGGGTTACTGTTGCTGGATTGACAGGTTGGCTATTGGGAGCCAGGTTCTGAGAGATTGGGGGTTGCCGCACTCAGTGATTCCTGGGCTGAAGGCCCATTAAGGCTCCTTCCAGAGGTTTTATCACATTTGGAAGATTTATATATATTGTGGTACGAGCTATGGGTGTTTCTCCATATGCCTTCACGGTGGCTTGGATCTTGGCCTTTCTTCACCAAGGCATTGGGCACAGCTTGCCTTATGTTCCATTAAGGGTCAGCTCTCTGCCCTTGAAGTCTTTTTTTTTTTTTTTTTTTTTTTCCACCATCCCTTGGCCATGTACTCTTTTGATTTGTACCCTGATACAAGGAGTTCGTCATGTGGCATCCTCGGTGCATTCTCTGTACCCACCCGAAGTTCAGGTCCCAGTCTCCTTTTTGAGTGCATTTGACATGTTCACGCTCTCTCAAAAAAGTTGCCTTTTTTTTATCGTGGTTACATTCATGTACCACATGTCAGAGCTGGCAGCCTTGTCTCATTAGTATTTTTTTGGTCTAACATGGCGATATGGTGGTTGTCCATTTACGTTCTTTTGTTTTTTTTTTGAGGTAGCATCAGATTTTTCATCTGCCTGGTGACATTGTCCCTCCCTCGCTAGGGAGATTGCACTGCTTTCGATGGACGTGGTCCAGGCAATTTGTGTATACCTGTTCGCTACAGCTTTCTTTCGGTGGTCGGATCCTTTTCATGATTGTGTGCGGACCACGAGATGGCATAGTGGCCTTTTCTGCCACCGTTTCATGATGGATCAGGCAGACGGTGCTTCAGGTTTATGACCTTAAGAGTTGGGTTTCTCCCTTCCTCGAGTTTGGCATTTTCTGCTGGTGTGATTTGGGCCTTTTGGCCACTTCAACTTCCAGCGTCTAGGTCTCACGTTTGCAGGGGCAGTGACTTGGTTATCTGTGGCTTTGAAGGTGGCTGTTTGAGGTTCCTTGTTTCCCTTGTAGGGGCTTTTCTTCAGGTGGTTTTCTGTCTGTTTTTTTTCCTACCCATCATTGAGGCACTGCTTTTGGATGTCCCTATGGTCATGATGCTGCGTTCGTAAATGATCGTAAGCGAAGAGGGGATTTTTTTTTTTTTTGTCACTGTTAAATCTTTCTCTGAAATAATTGATGGGCACAGTACCCACCCATCTTGTGATTTTTCTGTCTTCTTCCACTGCTTTGTGACTCACTGGTTTACCTATAACAGAGAGGGAGTGTATACCAACTAGGACCACCCATAGGCATTTGTGTTTTTTCGGCCTAGTGTTTTGCTCTGGTAGGTGGCCCTATAAATCCTAGAGAATGAAGAGAAGCTGTGTTCATCGATGAACTCTGAGAAAGGGATTTTACGGTAACCAAAAATCCTGTTTGTTAACCTAATATTCACAAATTTTCACAAACAAAATCCGTGTTTCTCTGTTGTGTTAGACAAGAATGACTTTTTTTCTGTTTATTTGCACAGCAAAATGGCCAAACTGGAAGAGCTGGAAGAGATAGATATCAGTGGAAACAAGCTGAAAGCCATACCAACCACCATCATGAACTGCAGACGTATGCACACTGTCATCGCCCACTCCAACTGCATAGAAGTTTTCCCTGAAGTTATGCAGCTTTCAGAGATCAAGGTCAGGGAAGTTTCACACTGTTTATACTGTCAGATTCGAAAAAAAGCCAATACCTGGCATCTGTTAAACTGCAATTCTGAAACTGTGATCAGATGTATGAAGCAAAATACTGATGTTTGTGTTCTTCTCTGCAGTATAAAAACAATGACATGGGCATATTTTTCCTTCAGTCCGCTTACATTTTTTTAAAATGATTAGAACAAGAGCTAAAGCACTCAATAAGTTATAAAAAAAATATATATATATCTCCAGGTAAAAAATTATATATATAAATACATATATATTCTACCTTTCTGAATACAAAGTGCGCCCCAAATAATAAATGTGAATTACAATAATAAAAATTGCCGCTACTTTCTACTGTGAGAAAAAAATTGTAACAAATAAATAATATTTTGAAATAAAATCTATATGCAGCGCTCTATAAATCATATAAAAGTAATCATAAACAAAAAGTCCATCAATAAAGTCCTTTTTGAAATCACCATGTGAGTTGAATTTCAAATAAAACCACCATGTGACTGTAAATAAATTTCCAAACAGTGCTGTGCTCCCCCTTTAGGTATGCACTCACCAACTTTTATTTGCCTCCCACTCTCATGGTTGGCAAAAATCGCTTTGGTATAAACATATTTCTCCAGACAAAGATGTTCACTCATATACATCGATTTTTCCTCAGAATGGTTCCAACACTCCAAATCAATCGCCTCTGTAACTGACTCTCCGCAGTAACTCTCCCAGAATGGCTCCCTATGAATAAGTCCGGAAGTGACGAAACGCGTCAGGGATTGGCTAAGCGAGAACTGGAAGTGACGTACTTTGGAACCGGAAGCGACGCGGGACTGTCTGAGAGCGAGGACCGGCAGTGATGAGAGCGTTGTGCGGTCTTCCCTCTTTAACATTACCTTCACAAAGGCAGATATATATCTTTGTGCTTATCTTGCATTTTTTTCTTAGTCATTACCAGAGATTGTAGATCTGGAGTGTTGGAGCCATTCTGGGAGAGTTATAGGACTCCTGCAAACTGTTAGTGTAATCTGTCTGTCTATACATCATATGGGCAGGCAGTTTCACAAGGACAGGAACCATCAATGAACTGCCAGAGTGCTCAACAGCTCGGTGAATGAATGATGCAGTGTGGGCAGGGCCCCACGTGGCTGTGCTCTTTTCAAGAAGTGACAGCTGGTATGGGGAACTTCTCCCTGTACTGCTGTCATACAGAGGGCTTGAATTGTTGAGCCACTGCAGGAGCGGCAACATGTAGCATGTTCCACTCTCTAAAAATGGGTGGAACATGTAACTTTTTCCTGAAGGTGAACTTATCCTTTATGAACAGGAGCCAGGCGCTGTGTAGTTTTGTGATAGAAATAATACACCTTGTATGGAGGTGTGCCTTTAATAAGTCATATGGTAAAACAATAATAAATAACCAGCCTGTGGCTTTAGGAAGCCAGGTTCCAAGATGGACGGCCCGTCCGCTCAGAGGGAAGCAGTGGAGTAGAATGCCTGTCAGTGCAGGGACCACGTTTACCCGACGTCCCAGCGTCCTGGATGACGTCACCACGATGTGGAGAGACGGAGGGGGGGAACTCTTGCTGGAGCCGCAGCTTTAGAAGGAAGAGGCCGGTTGCTGGGACAACATGTTTCGCGCATGCGCTTTGCAAGTTTGTCAAGTCTCTCAAGAGGCCTCTTCCTTCTAAAGCTGCGGCTCCAGCAAGAGTTCCCCCCCCTCCGTCTCTCCACATCGTGATGACGTCATCCAGGACGCTGGGACGTCGGGTAAACGTGGTCCCTGCACTGACAGGCATTCTACTCCACTGCTTCCCTCTGAGCGGACGGGCCGTCCATCTTGGAACCTGGCTTCCTAAAGCCACAGGCTGGTTATTTATTATTGTTTTACCATATGACTTATTAAAGGCACACCTCCATACAAGGTGTATTATTTCTATCACAAAACTACACAGCGCCTGGCTCCTGTTCATACCTCCCACAAACCGATGTGTTTTTTTTACCATGGCAGCAGTGAGTTTTTTCCCCACCAATCATAGTTGACATATACCATTCACTTATTTCCTTTGGGACACATCTGTGCGCTTTTATCCAGACCGAACTTATCCTTTAGCATTTACAAAATCATTTTAGCCCTGAAGATTACATAAAACCACCAAAACATTTTATATTTTCTGAAAGCAAACACTCTTGCGCGGGGACGGCAACCAGTCAGTCATGGTCTACCTGTCGACTGCAGGCAGGTGGCAACTAGGCCATGATCCGGTCCCTGTGCTGCTAACCCCTGCCTTTTTTAGGTGCCGGCATTTGGTTGCTGGGGCGGTTTGTAGCAACCAATGACCAGCTTGTTAATATGAAACTGCTGGAAGTGTGTGTGTGTGGCCTTAAGGAAATCCTGGAAGACATGACCTGTTTGTGGTACTTGCTCGAATATACACTGCTTTAAAATGTGTGTCTGTGTGCGCAATGCAAAATGATAGACTTTGGATTGTAAGTCACTGAGAAAATGAAATGTGATGGTTCCATAATAAATGGTTTTCAGGTAAATACTACAACACAAAAGTGCTTATTTAACCAGTAGCCGCCCGGCCTATGGCCGAATGGCGGCCTGCAAAATCCCTCAGCGTTCCGGGTGGACGCCATGTGGCGTACTCCCGGGCATGCGCAGTTTGCGCGCCTGCAGAGCCGCACAGCGGTGCGATCTGTCACCGGCCGTGTACCTCTGACACGTCCGATGACAGATCTGAGTACTGGCCCCGTTGCCGGTACCATGTGACCTGCTGTGACCAATCACAGCAGGTCACATGACAGTTGTATACAATGGATGGCTTCATTCATGCCATCCATTGTAAACTAGTGTGTGTAGCTGTGATTGGTCACAGCCCAGCTGTGTCATGTGATTAGCTGTGGCCAAATCACAGCTAAGCACGAAAAAAAAAAAAAAACCCTGAATGAATCGATGTCATTCAGGTAAATGCTTGCTTATAGCAAAGTAATTCTTTGCTATAAGCAAATTGTGTTAAAAAAAAATAAAAAATACTGATCACTTCCCCAAAGTAGTACAATGTTAGTATGGTTATTCATACTGTCATCAGTGTCCCTGATCACCGCCATGCCAGTTATGATGACGCTGTACTGCACTGGTGACAATATGTAAAAAAAAAAAATAGTGAAAATAATTTTTTTAATTTTCCGAAAAATTATGCCAAAAAAAATACAACTTCAAAATTCTCGCAATGCCTTTTATGAAGTACGTCGTACTGTCCACTTTGCAAAAAGGGGTCATTTGGAGGATATCTGTACTATTCTGACATTCTTGGACCTCAAGAAATTAGATTGGCTGTCAGTACTTGTACTTCAGGATTGATCAATATTCAGATCTATACCATAGTTTGTGAACTCTATAACTTTCCTACAAAACTAAAAAATACATCCTAATTTGGGTTATTTTCACCAAAGACATGTAGTAGAATACATTTTGGCCTAAATTTATGAAGAACAATTATTTATTTGCAAACGTTTAGAACAGAAACAAAGAAAAACGTGTTTTTTGGGTTTTTTTTCAATATTTTCGGCCTTTTTTTGTTAATTTAGCAAAAAATAAAAACCCCAGTGGTGATTAAATACTATCAAAAGAAAGCTCTAGTTGTGTGAAGAAAATGATAAAATTTTAGTTTGGGTACAATGTTGTATGACCGCGCAATTGTCATTCAAAGTGTGAGAGCGCTGAAACCTGAAAAATGGGCTGGGCAGGAAGGGGGTAAAAGTGCCCGTATGGAAGTGGTTAACAAGTACTGCAAAGTGTTTGGGGCTTATGCACATGGACAGTGAGAGACACAAATAAGCTCTAGTATAAAAGTCCCATCGGTTTTCCTTGCCCGAGCAGCCGCAGGTGGTGTGTAAAGCCAGCCATAGAAGTGAATAGCTGTGTGCGGGTAAACATCAGTGCTTTCTTGCATTGTTGCTTACGCTCACAAAGGAGGTACTTTCTGAACGCAGAACTTTCACGTTTGGAAATGTCTCATGCGTACATATGCATGTAAGTAAATGCCACCCACAGCTCCTCGAACACTTAAAATTGCCAGGTTTTCTACACTCGAGTTCATTTGTGCATCTTATCGTCCATATGCATTAGTCCTTACTGTCATCTTTACAGATTAATACTTTGAGAACTCCTATGATGACATTTCATGACAGGTTATGCAGTAGCAAGAGTTGCTGACCTACATAATTTCATAATCCAAAGGCTAATTTGAACTTTTCTTTTCAACACATCTCAGTGTGTGGATTTAGGTTGCAACGAACTGAGTGAAATTACATTGCCTGAAACTCTCCCTCCCAAGTTACAAGAACTGGACTTGACTGGCAATGCACGGCTGCTGTTGGACCATAAAACCCTGGAGCTGCTTAAGTGAGTGGCCTTTGCTTTGTCATGTGATTTTCCACTTCATATTGCAGCATATGACAATACATTAAGGAAAAGCATACAATACAGCTGGGGGCAAACACTACTTTTACTAGGAAAGACTGTATGGCATAATTGAACAGTTATTATGTAATGATACCTGGAACTCAATGTGAACTGAACAGAAATGTCTAATGTTACTTTTCGACCTTCAGTGTCTTTCCTGAGGACAAATTGCATAAATGGTCATATTTCTTTTAACCAATTTGGGGAAAAAAATGGTGAATATTTTATTTTGGAGTGTTGTATGTCTAAACTGTATTTTGATTAATAATATCCTCAAAGCCAACCTGGAATTTATTTAAAATATTTTGACGGCCCCACCTTAGAGCAGGCACCAAGTTGTGCATTACGTTCTTTAGCTGGAAAACCCTCCTTTGCATGCCTTTCTGAAACTTACTTAGAATCTAAATTGACCTAACTTTAAGATTAACCAGTTGCTGTCTACCCTATAGTAGTTTTATTGCTACAGGGCGGACTCCCTGCGCGAAATCACGTATATATACATGATCGACGCTCCCGCCATGTTTCCGGGTTGGGGGTGCTGTGATTTGGTACAGCACTGATCAGTCACCAGATCCAGGCCAATGAATTTTGATCTGGACCTGCTGATCAGTTGTACCGAACCAGAGATCATTCTGCGCCTCTGTTTACAGAACACAGGCACAGGAAATGAAGCAATCTTCTCTCCTGGAGCCAGAGAGAGGAGAACATCTATGTGAGTAAAAGTAGCACATTTTACACTGAAACACCTAGTTAGAATAAATTTCACCCCCCCCCCCCCCCCCAAATCATTAGTACAGTGTACAGATTTTTTTTTTCTTTTCAACTGATCACAGTATTAATGTCATGGGTGACTTCAGATAGTGTAAGCGTCAGTGTCCCTCCCAGATAGGATCAGAGTGCAGGCCATTACATTACGATCACATTTAACCCTTTGATTGCCAGGGACATTCTCACAGACACACTATAAACTTCCATTGCTAGTATAGTGTCTGAACAGATCAATATCTTTTGATCAGAACTATACTAGTGTCCCCAAAAATGCAGCATTAGTGGGATTTGTCCCCACACCTGCCAGCACCTGCTAAGGTCAGGTATACCCATCCCCCTTACCCAGGTTGCTGAGGTGTTAGAATTGAACGATGATTCTCTTATGCAGCAGAGTGCCAGTACTAGTGCCGAACTACCTTTTGGTGAACTGGTGAGCACCAGCGGCCTAATACATCCTGGTCTTTTACATACCAGCACTACAGTATCATTTGGTGACATGACGAGTCCCATGCAGCCCCAAGTGCAGTACCAGCTGGTACAGTTGCTAGCATAAGTAGTGTCCCACAGCCACCAAGAATTCAAACACAGGCCTATAGAGACTATAGTGTCCGTAGAGCTCATAGTGTCCTTCCCGGATGTGTTTGTAAATCCTAATTGGCAGCCTTCAGATTCTACAGCCCCTTTACTTACCCCATTCATGGCCCACCCCAGATGCAATTCAGGTGCAAATTTAACTACTCCCCCATTTTTTTTTTTTTTTTTAGCGGTTTTTCACAGAAGATCTGTATGGATCTATTGTAGACCAAAGTAATTTATTCGCACAATTTATCGGCGCCAACCCAAATTCAAACCTTGCCAGACAATTTGCATGAAAACCTATTACGGTTTTTGAGTTGAACAATTTTTGGGCTTAACCCTCAAAGTGGTTGTAAAGGTTCTTAAGGTTTTTTACCTTTGTGCATTCTATGCATGAAGGTAAAAAAACCTGTGTGCAACAGTGCCCCCAGCCCCCTCAATACTCACCTGAGCCCCACTGCGATCCATCGCCTCAGCTGTCCCAGGTCTCTGCCTCCTCATTGGCTGAGAGAGCAAGCAGGAAGCCATTGGCTCCCGCTGCTGTCATTCGCAGGCAGTCAGCCAATGAGGAGAGAGAGGAGGTGGGGCCAAGCCATGGCTCCGTGTATGAATGGACACGGAGCAGCGTGTGCCCCCATAGGCTGCTTGCTGTGGGGGCACCCAACGGGAGGGAGGGGCCAGGAGAGCCTGCAGGGGACCTGTGAAGAGAAGGATCCAGGCTGCTCTGTGCAAAACCACTGCACACAGTAGGTAAATGTAGCATGTTTGGTACTTTCCAAAAAAAAAAAAATGGACTTTTAGAATCGCTTTAACATGGGCATTACTGAAAAGAATGAGTCGGTCATATTGATCCACAGACCCAATTCATCATATGCCTGTGTTCTCTGCTGCCATGGCAGACATAGATATGAGAATATAATGTAATTTATGTATTTAAACGACCGTACACTCTGTCATTTTCAGGGTGACCCTGAATAGGATCGGCTTCACAAAATTCAGCCCCTCGTAAATCATCTTAACCAGGAATTTGCAGATGTATTTACGTCCCAAAAAAAAACTGCGTTGATGAGTCCCTTGTTCATTTTTCTGCCCGCCTTGCATTCAAGCAGTTTCTACCCAGCAAGCGTGCCAGATCTGGTGTCAGAATGTATCGTAAGGTCTGTGAGAGGGCAACAGACTATATATGTAATTTTCCGATTTACAAGGGAAAAGATAGTCATGTGGAGCCCCCTGGAGCAGTGGCAAGATAGTTTGGGACTTGTCACCCTTTTTCCTTATGGGGTATCACTTATATGTGGACAATTTTTATACAAGTATGTCATTTTTAAACACCTTTTTGATCTTGGATTGACTCATGGCACCATGTGACCTAATCGCTGGGGCTTCTCCCAAAGGCTTGGAAATGGGGAGAAAGCCTGCTTGAGAAATGACTTCACAGTGAAGTGGAAGGACAAACAGGATGTTTTTCATCCTGTCTTCCATTCTTGTAGACACGACAGTTCAAGTTTGCACGGCAACTGGTGTTGAGAAGCACCTCTGTGTACACGATGCACTATAACCTTAATATGGGAGGGTTGGACTTCAATGGCCAGATGATGAAGCTGTATTTAGTTACCTGTAAAGGCAGACGTTAGTACAAAAAAGTGTCTGTATATTTCAGTTGGCTCTGTACAACGCTTTTGAGCTTTACAAAGCAACTGGACGAATTGGATTCTTCCTAAAATTTCAGGAAGAGATCATCACGGCCCTTTTGTACCCAGAAGGTACTGTGGCCATAACATCTGACCCAGATGCAGTTGGTATTTCAGCTGCATGAGAGGAATTTTCCTGATGCCATTCCTGGTACCCAATCCCCCTCCCAAAAAAAATGCGTCTGTAGCAGACACGGAATTAAACATGGCACTTTTTTTTTTTTTCCTCTCGTGTCCCTCCTGTCCTGGCCAACCTGGTCTCTGCTTCAAGGACTGCTTCCGTCACTACCACACACTAGTGGAGTATTAGTATAGGTTACGGCACAGCATAGTATAGGGTACACATGTTACCCCCATAGTACAGGGCACACTAGTGTGCTCTAAGGTATAGGATTTTCATCATTAGTTCTCTAGGTAGGTAGAGGAGACTGGCTATCGCATTTTGAGAGACCCTAAAATCATAGTCTGGGACATTTACAGTTTTTTTTTAAGTTACAAAAAAAGTAAAAAGCAAAAAAGATTAAAAAAGTAAAAAAAAAAAATTAAAAGACAAAAATGCTTGTTGTATTTACTGAGACAATGTTCTTTTGTTACTGTGTTTTATTGTTAACCATTATTTGCTTTGCAGGGATGCCATTCAGCTACAGCACTGATCTGTTTATTTTGACAGCAGCAGAGTGTACTTTTAGAATATATACATTAAAGAGTGCAGCGCTGTGGAATGAGATTTCTCATCTGCAGTTTAAAAAAAAAAAAAAAACCCATATATACCCAAGCATGGGGGACTGGGGTGGTCAGTGGGCGGATGCCTTTTCTTCAGCATATATATGTTTCGTATATTTTTAAAAAGTTGTTTTATTGAATTTATGTTCTATTACTGTATCTTATTAACCGTTATTTTCCTTGCAGGAAAAGTGTTGCTCTCAGAATAAACATCAGTGCGTGCAGCACTGCTGGAGCCAATCTCTCATCTGCAATAACAAAAACAAAACTTATTCCTAAGCATGGGGGCCTGGGGTGGTCAATGGGTGAATCGTTCCTATGCATCTGCATTTTTTTTTTTTCGCAGAGATTTCTTCACATCGATCAATGTGAATGGAGTAATCTGTCGGGCTCTTTTTTTTTTTTTTTTCCTTTTTTTTTTTTTTTCCTTTTTTTTTTTTTTTTTTTTTTTCTCATGTATGCCCAACATTAGAAGTAAGTGGATGCAGGGCAGTATATTCTAATGGTGAGCATACCATACACTTTTTCTGGCAGATATTTATTCTCTTTTTGCATTCAGCCCACAGGCTATATATAAAAAAAAAAAAATCCTAATATATATGCCCAACAAGGACCAGCAAGGTACTGGTACATCACTGGGCTTTGAGTGGTTACACCAGGATGATGCCTGCTGCAGGTATCATTTTGCTATAATTTGTTTCAGCCAGAAGTCGACTTTTATGTAAAAGCAATCATAGCTGCTATTTAGCCACTGGATTGCTTTTACATGCAGTGGGAGGGGATGTAAAATTCCCCCACCCCCAACTGCTTTCCACAGCTTTGTCAGGCTGTTCCGTCCCATGGCAGAACCCAAGAATGCAGCTGGCTGTTCATAGAGCTGATTGGAGACCAGGACGGCTCCAATTATCTCTATAGTCAGAACAGTCTATAGTCTATAAACAGAAGCTACAAGCATTTCATCACTCCGGTTTCGCTGGAAATAAACAGCGCCATTTTTAAATTGGGAAAGCTTCTGATCACACCAAAATCGGTGTGATCAGATGCTTTAGAGGCAGAGGGGAGATCAAGAGTCTAACAGACCCCTGATTTTTCAAGAATGAATACCTGTTATTGCAATCATAGGGGATATATACATTCCCTGTGATAACAATAAAAGTGATAAAAAAAATTGGAAGGGACAAT